CCCAGGAAATCCAGATTCCACGGCAAACTACGCCACCGCCAAGAACCTCAACGGAATGGATGGACCCCGGTGTCCTTTCCCCTGCCTAGGAACTAGCGCGCCTGTGGGAGAAATCCCAAAGGCCAAAAAGAGGAAGGGGAAAAGGGAGGGGTGGGGAGGAGGAGGAGGAATGGAAAAAGGGGAAGATGGGATAGGGGAGGGGAGAATGGGGGGTAATTAGGTTCGGTCTGAGGAAAAGACCAACAGGGCTAATTCCTCAGACCAAGAGCATCTTCACCACGCCAAGGAGCCCCCCTTGAAGAGGTGCTTCTACCATAGAGTTACTATTCTACACATAGGATGTTATAACTTACTGCAATTCTGGCGTATTAAGAATAGTAGTCACAATGCGAGCACCATGAAGTGGTGGGTTTGAGTACATAGGCCGGATCAAGATTTTCACCTGAGACATGACACGTGCGGCCTCATCCTTGTCATTGCAGACAATTGTGAATGCACCAGCTCTCTCACCTAAGAATTAAACATCACTGATTAAACTAGTAAAACCAGTACAGCCTCTCCTCACTAAGCGATGTACTCATTTACTGATGCCTCGGACGGGCCCTCTGACCAGTATTCATACCTAAATAATGTATATTAGAGCTGATTTCCCCTATTCTCTCTATTTCAATATGCAATGGAACCTCAGTTTTCATGATTAATCCATTTGAAAAAGTCTGATGATAAACTGAATCATACGAAAACTGAAGCAATATTTCCCATAAGAAATAATGTAAATCCAATTAATTCGTTCCACTCAAAAATATTAACAAAAAATACATTTTATAGAGAATAACTATAGTTTTACATACAAACTAGGGCATACAAAAACAGAGGTGCCACTATACAGTACACTATAAACATTTAAAAATATACCAGAAATTTTATACATGTAAATGGTGCAAAGGTGACATTAATATATTATCAAAGATGGAAGACACAAACTCGCTGCCATTATAGTATGCTCCTCACTTAGCATCGTTAAGTGAGGAGAGGCTGTAATTAAAATTAAAACATTAAAAATATTCTTTTCTTTAACTGGTCCATTTGGTGGCCAGAGCTGTGACTCGACCTCTGCAAACAAAACTAGTCGGTACACATTGTTTTACCAATTATTTTATAAATTATGAGGACACAAACTGCTGACTTACTGGTTAAGCATACAGCCCATGCAAAACAGCCTTTAACCCATTAACTGTCCAAACATAGATCTACGTTTTTTACATGTTTTCTTATGAAGAGAATCAAGGTCTGAGTACTACACGTGAAAAGTAGATCTACGTTTGGACAGTTAACAGGTTAAATTGATGGAATATTTAGTGTATTGGCAATCTTCAGCTGTATAATTATTTCCTCTCCATACTATTACCGTTATGACTGAAATTTTAGTTTCCTTGAAAGACATGTCTTCAATTATTTCATTCTGCATTTTATGCATAGCATATTATTTACCCAAGTAATAACATCAGTTTTAAGATACTCTTGCCATGGGTTCCAGCCCAACCCATTCTGTGATTTTATCAAGTTTAATGGTTATTACAGCAAGCATAAGAAAGGAGTAAAAAAAAAAAAAAAAAAAAAAAGAAAGAAAAATTAAAGTTCATATGGTGATGGAGAAAATATGGCAGAGTACTGCCCAAAATGAAAAATTAGTATGCATTAGGGAATTTTTGTTTACTTGAGATTTCAACAGCCAACTAATCTACCAACAATTTTTTTTTACTACTTACAAATTACTGTAGAATTCCTCTGCACCACTAAAAAGTAGAATTAGTATGCATATGTGAACTTTTGAGCAAGGGGCTTGTAACCTCTTCTGTATACATTACTAAATTTAAAGAGAGAAACTTTTGTTTTTCTTTTTAGTCACCCTGCCTCGGTGGGATATGGCCAGTTCTTTGGGGAGAGAGAAAAAAGGGAGCTTTTGGGGCTTCACCCCTTCATCACAAAAATAAGATGAAGCCTCTTTAGAGAACTCACTGACCAAGTTGTTACCTCTTACTATCCATATGTATACCATAGTCACAAGTGATGGAGGCTGGTTAAACCTACAGGAGACCGTCGTTTAACACTGTATTTACGTTCCTGAAAAACGCCATGGTAATTTAAACCGTGTTAGACAAACTGAAGAACTTTAGGGAAAAATAGGGTTACGTTCCCGGGAGCCCCAAAAAAGCCAAACAACTTTTTTTTAGACCAACAGATCTTACAAAAATAAAAGTGAACATTTAATTGTAGTTCATTGTCATAATGTATTATGTTGTTTTTACTGCTTAAGATTACAACTGCAACAGAAATAACTATTTTTTACCTTAAATTGTGGGTGCTGGTGTTTGTGAATGATTGTGGAGAGTTATGCTGTGGCCCTACTGGGCTGAGAAGGATGGTAGAAGTTCTGGTACTGAAGTCGATGGTTGTACTGGAGTGTGCATAAATCAGTCAAGTCAGTAAGCCAAGTCAGTCAGTAAATCAGTCAGTCATCACACAAACTCATATTTACTCATATTTAACTAGCAGAGAATGGTCCTACACACGTATGAACCCAAACCTGGGACAAGGATGGTGGGAGTGGTGGTGGGGGTGGCGAGGGATGGAGGTAGGGAAGACTCCAAATTTTTTCCCCTCCCGCAAACAAAACCGCATTAAGTTAATCTTATGAAGTGTTATACAGAAATACGCCAATTCTTCATTAGTGCTATAGTCAAAACGTGCCAAACAAAACCGTGTTAAACGATTGTCTATTGTATCCTCAAAATAATTATACGTATACTAATTCTGTACTTTGTCACTGCTTCCCTACTTTTTTGGGCCATTTTTCAATCTCAACTGGTTTTAATTAATCAAATTCAGAGATTGGTGGATGAATTTGGTAGGGTGTGCAAAAGAAGAAAATTAAAGGTGAATACAGGAAAGAGTAAGGTTATGAGGATAACAAAAAGATTAGGTGATGAAAGATTGAATATCAGATTGGAGGGAGAGAGTATGGAGGAGGTGAATGTATTCAGATATTTGGGAGTGGACATGTCAGCGGATGGGCCTATGAAAGATGAGGTGAATCATAGAATTGATGAGGGGAAAAGAGTGAGTGGTGCACTTAGGAGTCTGTGGAGACAAAGAACTTTGTCCTTGGAGGCAAAGAGGGGAATGTATGAGAGTATAGTTTTACCAACACTCTTATATGGGTGTGAAGCATGGGTGATGAATGTTGCAGCGAGGAGAAGGCTGGAGGCAGTGGAGATGTCATGTCTGAGAGCAATGTGTGGTGTGAATATAATGCAGAGAATTCGTAGTTTGGAAGTTAGGAGGTGCGGGATTACCAAAACTGTTGTCCAGAGGGCTGAGGAAGGGTTGTTGAGGTGGTTCGGACATGTAGAGAGAATGGAGCGAAACAGAATGACTTCAAGAGTGTATCAGTCTGTAGTGGAAGGAAGGTGGGGTAGGGGTCGGCCTAGGAAAGGTTGGAGAGAGGGGGTTAAAGGAGGTTTTGTGTGCGAGGGGCTTGGACTTCCAGCAGGCATGCATGAGCGTGTTTGATAGGAATGAATGGAGACAAATGGTTTTTAATACTTGACGTGCTGTTGGAGTTGAGCAAAGTAACATTTATGAAGAGGTTCAGGGAAACTGGCAGGCCGGACTTGAGTCCTGGAGATGGGAAGTACATTTGCCTGCACTCTAAAGGGAGGGGTTTTAAATTGTTCAGTTTAAAAAACTGTGGGGTGTAAAGCCCCCTTCTGGAAAAGGAAGTGATGGAGGAATGAGGGGGAAAAGTTTTTTTTTTTCCCGGGCCACCCTGCCTTGGTGGGAATGGGGCCGGGTGTGAAAAAAAAAAAAATTCAGTTTGGGAATTTTTTTCCCTTAAAAATTTTTAAAATGGGTACTTCATTAAACCATTAACCCCCTGTTTTTTGAAAAAGGATTGGCAAGGGGGTTTTTTTGACCGTCACCCAAGAATTTCCCCTTAAGCATAACACCCTACTATATCACCAGAAGAAAAACCCGAAAACCATTAAAAATGAATATATGAACATGGGTTTTTATGAGGGCTGGGAAAAAAATATAACTTTTTACACTGTGGTATGGCTTTTTAAACTATTTTTTACAGTATTTATTTGAAGTATGTCCCAAAAATTTAGAGCAAAAAAAAAACAGAGACCCCGAACAATAGTGGGGTTTGGGGTGCCAACCACCCACAACCCGAAAACCAACATATAACTTTCTTTTTTTAAACAGGGCCAGTCGTCTCCCCCCTAAAGCAGGGTGCCCATAAAAAAAAAACATTTTCCCAACCCATCATTTGCACGTTCACTGTTTTGCAAGGGGGCCCAGATATGACTTTTTAGATGTTACTCCAAACCCAATATCCCAAACCTCTCCTTTAAAAGTGCAGGCTTTATACTTTCCCCCCCTTTTCCGGGGACTAAAGGCCCGGGCAAATGGTTTTCCCGGGAACCCCTTACAAAAATATTCCCCTTTCCCTCACACTAAAAACAGCGCGCCCGGGCCCCCAAAGAAAACATTTCCCTTTCATTAAATTCCTATCAAAACAGGGCCCACCATGCTTGCTGCATGGCCGGGCCCCTTTTGCACCACCATTTTTTACCCTCGTGCTTTTACCCTTTTCCCAAAGGAGGGCCCCCAAAAACCCTTCCTTTTCCTGCCTAAAATTTTTTCCTACACCCTCCAATTTCACCTATTTTGCTCCACCCACTCAAATGCCCAAACCATTTTAACAACCTTTTCCCAGCCCTCTGAATAATACTTTTAATAATGCCACACCCCCCAAAAAATTTTCCCACACTAGAATTCTCTGCATACTTTTTAAACATCCAAAAATTGCTTTTAAACAGGGACAACCCCACTGATTTTCCCAAACCTTTTTTACTTAAAATATTTTCCCCCAAAATAGGTGTTTTTGGTACCACTATACTCTCTTATTTTCCTTTTTCTTTGCCTCCATGGATAATCCCTCTTGTCTCTACAGTTTCCCTTGAATCCCACCACCCACTTTTTTTTCCCTTAATCAATTTAGGGTTTTTCCTAAACCTTCATAAACCATTCCCCCGGCAAGTTTACCCCCAAAGTATCAAAAACCACACACACTTTTTCCCCATACTCACTCACCCCCCCTCCGTGTGAAAACCAATTTTTTTTTTTACCTAACCATTTGATCCCCTAAATCCTTTACTTTTAACTATTTTCACTTTAAAACTTTTTTCCCTTTTTTACACACCCCCCCCCAAAACTTGCCCACTAACCTTGCAACTTCCTTTAGAACCCCCCCCAAAAAGCACAGTCACCGCAAAATGTAACTATGTCAACTCCCTTTTTGGGTATCCCCAATTCCATGAATTTAATCCAAAAAACCTTCCCAAAACCCAAACTTTTAATTTTTTTAAAACCCCCATTTTAAATATGTTAAAAAACCCCACAGGGGACTTTACACACCCTTTACTGGAAAGTAAATCCCCCCCACCCCCT